AGAGAATTAGAATTATTTACAACTAGATGCTGTAACTAGGGTAGTCGTGTTGTGCAGCCTTTATCTTTTCCTGTCTTTCTCATTTATTTTCTAATCAGAAATGCAGAAAAATGAAGGAATTCTTCAGAGGTAAACAGTTTCAGGCTGAAATGTTGTCGACCTTTTATCCTCCCCGATGATTCCCCACTACCAGGGTTGACAGGACCTTAGCTGTGTCCGACTTATTTTACACACATCTGCCCACGCCCCTTCTCTTCCCTCCCACAACTGCGATAGTATCTCCCGGTCATCAGTTTCCACTAACCAGCCTTTGCATCCAGTGGATCGAAAACCACCATTTCTGCTATCTCCAGCAGGATACCACCACCTGACAAACATTCCCCACCCCTCCCTTGTCGGTATTCCACAGGGATTGTGCCCTCTGGGATACCCTGGTCCACACCATCTCCATTTCCAACACCACAGCACCTTCATATGCAATCGCAGAAGGTGCAACACTTGACTGCTTACCTCCTCGCTATCCAAAGCCCTGGACATACCTACCAGCTGAAGTACAGTTAAATCACTGCTTCATGCGATCTAGTCTACTGTATACTGTTCACAATGTAGTCTACTCTACACTGGGGAGACGAAACACAGACTGGGTAACCACTTTGCGGAACAACTATGTTCTGTCCATGAAGGTGACCCCGAGCTTCCAATTGCCTGCCTCTTCAATATACCACTGTGCTCCCATGACATCTGTCTCCAGCCTGCTATAGTGTTCCAGCGACTGGTTAGGGACATTACAGCCTTCAGGACACAGCATTGTGTTTAACAATTTTAGAGCACAAACACTTCCTTCCATGTGTTTTACTTAACTCCACACCCCAGGTTTTGACATGGATTGCTTTTAGCACAGCTAATGTATTTTCAACTACTCGTAGCTCACTCGCACACGCGCTCTCTCTGTCTCTTCCCCCCCCCGCCTTGCTGGTGTGTCTCCACCTATCTGTTCTTTATTTTTCCTACCCCTCCCCCACTTTCAGCATTAATGCAACCCTTTCCAAGCTGCTATCAGTTCTGAAGAAGGTTCACTGGACTCTGTGTTAACTCTCTCACCTCTCTCCACAGATGCGGTCAGATCTGCGTTTCTCTAGCAGTTTCTGTGTTTGTTTCAGACTGACTGAATCAATATTTGCAATAATAAGTCAGGTGTTTTTGTTAAAATGCAACATAATTTCTGGCTCATTGGCTTGTTAGACCTGTAGTTTATATTCAATTGCCTTACATTGTCAGGCCTTATTTTTTTCTGGAATTTAGTTCTCAAACGTGACTTTTTTCACCATCTTTTGTATGGATGTTGTAGAATTCAGCACGTCTGGCATTTTCAAGATTATGCTGACCTCAGCCTTAGCAAGAAGCTGCTTTAGCTTCCCAAGCTGTTTAACATCAGTCATGAAATCCATGTGGTGTGAAAGTAGCTGAGGTGGAGGAAAGAACAAAGAATTTTCCAGGTTGGGAGAACCTTTATTAAAGGTTCGTTACATGGTATGGGGGTAGGGAAGGAATGTATGTAATTTGAGAGCCTTTTAAGTTCTGTATTGGTTTCATTTTGATGTTCTAGCTTGGAGAAGTTTGAGGGAAATGGGCCTTCTAATTTTTCAAGTAACCCTTGCCTTTGGAGTGATTGTAGTTCTACTAGTATGTGTTTGTTACTTCCTCATTTGGATACCACTCAAACATTAGACTTTGTTTGATTCAGATCTCCAGCATCTCAGTTCTTTGTTTAGTATTTTTCTCTGCATTCTGAACTGCTGTGGGTCCCTTGGCTAATTGAAGACTATGGGTAAGTTGCACAGTTAAAACTGCAATTTAGGCCTGTAACTAGAACAAATATGAAACCGGTCTTCAGTTTTATTTAACACTTTTTTTTTTGTACTCCCTGCATTTTCACATGTTCTCAAATGTCCAATTTTCTTCAAACATTTTACCACTGTAACCTACCTTGCTATCCACTCAGCCACTGGAACATTTTAGATTTTTTCAATCCGATAGTCAGCTGATCTATCGCAAACTTGCAATTCTTTTATGTATGGGTGGGTGAGGGAAATGGGAAGCTTTGTGATGTTCGCATTTGGGTTCTGTCCCCAAAAGGAGTGAGATGTGTGATGGCCTGTTCCATCCTGTTGCATATTATAAAATTTCCTATTCGCTTTTGCTCTTGTAATTTTTAGATGTACACTGAAGTGTGATTTTGTACTAGTGACTTAAAATGGAAACCGTCTTCTAGTGGTCACCTCTTGGGAATGAAATATGGTTGCTGTCAAGAAAGACTAATTTTCTAACTGTATATGTAGTATTAGTATCAGTATTAAGCAATTCCTGCGGATTTATAAATACACTTCGCTGTATCTCCTTTGCTCCAGCCATCCACATCATTTGCTGCTTTGATCAGAGTCCCAAAGGCTCTGGTTGAATATGCTTTCATCACTTCCACAACCTACTGAGATGGAACTTTGTTAAACAAGGTGTAGAGCTGCATCGCAATGCAGCTTGGGCTTTGCTTAAAGGAGACTGGTGTGTCCAACCCTTCTAAGCCACATACGTATGACCCCAGCCTCCAGCCCCTTATTCAGTCATGGTGTGGCTGCATACAGCGAAAACTGAGCCAAACCTCTCTTCCCTACTGGTTTTGATGACTCCTTTGCAGCTGCTGCTGTACTCACTGCTATTGGCCTGGCACAAAGATCACAAGTAATAAGCCTTTTCACTCTTGACTTCCTGGGCCTGAAATCTGCTTTTTGAATGTGCACTTAAACCAGTGAAGGAGCAGAACTCTTTTGCCCTAGTTGAGCAGCTATTTTTTTTCAAGGCTTTGAAGGTGAAGCAATGCAATTATGTCAATGTTGCCCATGAATGGAGAAAAAGAATTGTGAACCAGGTTTGAGGCTTCTGGGTTAAGACTGCTTGCCAAAGTGGTAAATTTCAAACTGACGTGGTGATTTTGAACTTGACACAATAACAGTCCATTACTTTGTTTATGTCTTATGTATTTTTTTCCAATAAATAGTATGTAACTTGGCCTGAGAGATGTCTGTTTTTCTCCTTTCAACACCCCCAATAAAATATAAACAAAAGTCTGAGGTCTCGTGTATGCTTTGGTCATCCTGTGCTATATCCAGTCTAACCCACCGGCAAGTGAATAAGTGGATTGATTTATAGGTGCTGAAGCACAATGCACTGGCTTGCTGCACATTTATATTTTGATTCCTTTCAATTCAAGAGGGGTTGTCCTGCTTACTGTTCCCTTTTCTTTGAGCATGGGTGAAGCATATTGGGAGATGATTAACATTATAATGAGAGGATAGAGGAAGAATCACTATTTTGCCCCATGTGGAGTAAGGAAAAATCAGGACTTTTCAGTCCCCTGAGTTGAGCTTCACATTATATCCTCTCGATTACTTGACACAGAAATATAGAAACTAGGACTCTGTAGAATTTGCACATTCTCCCTGTGTCTGCATGTGTTTTCTCCCACAGTCCAAAGATGTGCAGGTTAGGTGGATTGGCCATGCTAAATTGCCCATCATGTCCAGGGCTGTGCAGGCTAAGTGGATTAGCCATGGTAAATGCAGGGTTACTGTAGGGATTCATTCTTGAATATACTCAGTTACTGGGCCTCCCCAGCCATCTGTGGTAGTGAATTCTAATACTTACTTTTGTCTGCCTGTGGTCCCACCTTGCTTCCACTGCAATAATAACCTTTGCATCTACAGACACTCCTTTCTCCAGCCTCTCATTTATCCAAAACTATCTTTCCTCCATTGTGACTAATATTAAGTCCAACTTATCCATTATTGCTGATTCTACATTGGCTTTCTCCATCCTCTCGTTCTCTTCAACCTCCATCCTTATCCTGATTTCCAAATCTATTCCATACGTTTTACTTTATTAATTGTGGAAGGTATTCTATTTACATTCATTCTTTCATTCTTCTAAAGTGCTTTGCCCTAACATGCTGTTAAAATGCAAGTTATTCATTTCCTTGCATTATCTTCTGCATAGCAAGTGTGTTTCACAGAAAATAAAACGGCATGAAGATTTAATTACAGATCCCAGATAACAATACTCTGAGAGACATCCAACCTTGGCACTCCTTTACAGCTTAAATAAAATCTGGCAGTGCATTCATCAAAGCTGAGGCAACTGTAGTCTATTTACGCCTAACTGTTGCTTGCAAGTGTGAATTTTGTGGGCTTGGAGATTTTGAAAATATTTTGTGTCACAGCCCCAATTGAATAACCCTAAATGAGAACACCAGAACTGTCATTAATAATTTGAGATGTGTATATGTCAGTGGAAATTGGATTAAATGTGGCAGCTTCATGGGATCCACTTTTACAAACTATTAAGACAAAATATGGACACCTCTACTTTGTGAATTCACCAATTTTAAATGTCTCTGTGAGGTGGTCTGGAGGTATCATGAAAGAGGGCATTGCTTGAAGAAGTGGTGTTTGATTTGGTCCATTCCAATTTAGCTGCATGTTGGACTTCATTTGCTGTTTCGTGAAGCAAAGATGCTTGTTAACATCGCTACGGTATGGGACTCACCACTTTGGGAGGGAAATTAATATTTCATTTATTTTGGTAACATTCAGATACCGATGCTAATGCTGATTCCATGCCTACACTTGCTAAAGATTAGTGGAAGTGAAAAGCTGTAAGTAGTGAGTAACCAATTGAAGGAGGAAACTTAAAATTGAAAAGTGCATCCTAGTTAGTCAACTGTTATAAAATTAAACAAGTTAAAAATCATTGTGAGATGGCTAGGGCCAGATCTTCCATACTTTGCTGTTAATACAGGTGTAAGTTTCAGGGGCAGGGCTTTTTTTTTAAAAAAAAGCCACATTAAAAAGAAAGCCCATTGTTTTAGCCTTTTAAAGGGTTTTTTTTTTTTGCTGAGATGTGGGGATGTTCATTAATGTTGAATCTGGCTCTGTTTGAACTTCATGCAGACCATACCTCGTCTGGAACAAGCCCTGATAAAACAGAATCTAAGGTTGGTACGGAGTTGGCAGATATGCAGGAACAGACATCAGTGAAAGACAGAATGGCATTATACCAGGCTACTGCATCACAGAAGGAGACCAGCATCCAATCTCCTACAGTAATCACTTTTTTTGAATACATTTCCATCTGCACACAATTGATTCTAATGCTTACTAGAAATGTTATTGAGGATAATCCTGTTCTCATGTTAAAATAGGAGCTTGTAGGAAGACTTTTTTTTTGTATTTAACCTGTTTTTCTAATCGGCCTGTTCAGAGATGTTATTACACACCTCTGCAACAAGTGGGATTTGACCCTGGGCCTCTTGGTCTGGGGGACAGTACCACCGCACCATAAAAGACATTGCTGGGCCCATGTGCCATTGCTGACAACCATATCCGCACTACTTAGCGGGAATATCTTCATTAATAGCAAGGTCTGTTAAACACCTGTCAACTTTAAGGGGAGGTGACCCAGTAGTATTATCACGGACTGTTAATCCAGAGACCTGCAATGTTCTGGGGACCCAGGTTCAAATCCTGCCACGGCAGATGGTGGAATTTGAATTCAATAGATTCTTAATTCCAAATACTTAATGATGACCATGACTCCATCGTCGATTGTTGTAAAAACCCATCTGGTTCACTAATGTCCTTTAGAGCGGGAAACTGCCCTCCTTACCTCGTCTGGCCTACATGTGACTCCAGACCCACAGCAATGTGGTTGACTCTCAACTGCCTTCTGGGCAATTAGGGATGGGCAATAAATGCTGTCTAGCCAGCGACACCCTAATCCCATGAATGAATAAACTTGGATTTTTTTTGCTGCCTTGCTCTCCTTTACTCTCTTGCTTGCCCTTTCACCTTCAACAGTGTAAATGAACTGTGCCCTTTGCGCCTGCGCCTGTGCAGGTGAAAGGTGAAAATTCTCTTTATTCTTGTGGGTGGTGCAAGATTATTAATTTGAATTTACACAGTGGCTCTTTATATTTTGTAGATACCTTGAGTACTTCACAGAGCTGCAGTTGCTATTGTTTTGCTTTTTTTGGAGGCCAACATGGCTGTCAATTTGCGCACAGCAAAATCATGCAGATCACATTGAGATTAATCACTAGTTAATGTGTTTCTGATTCTGTTGGTTGAATTAATTTTGACCAGGACATGAGGATCATTCCTCAATTCACACATGGTGTCAATGAATCTTTCACATCCACCTGAATAGAGTAACATGATCTCATTCCAAAGTTGGCACCTCTGACAATGTATCATACCCTCTATTCTTCATAAGGATGTCTGCCAAGTGTGCAACCTGAACCCATTACCTTCTGACTCGTGAATGATGTATCAACTAGCCAGACTGGTGCTACTGGTTAAAGTAGCATCGCTCCCATATTTGTGTGACCAAACTGGAATGAAAACTTAGTACCTCAGATGATTTTTTTTCCTCTGGAAATCAATTGGCGCAAACCTTTCCAACTATGCTTTGACTTGGATGTCTGGCTTCTTGGACTTGAACCCAGTGACATCGGATGCTGGATGTGCATTGCATCTTTGTCTTGATATATTTGCGCAATTTGCCATACACTTTTTTGTCTTGCTGCAGCATTCTTGTTTCCCTAACTGTATGCCAATGAACTCTTTTGAACCAGCAATTTATTTTTTTTTTTTTTTTTTTTGTTTTACCTTGCCTTCAAATTCTATGCCAATTAAGATGTCTGGAGTGCTACTGGTGAATTTGCTCCCCCTTTGCTTCCAGTGCTGCACCCATTCACCTGCATTCCTCCACCAGATGACCAAGTGCAAGCTCCCATTTAGCAAACCTGATTCATTGGGAATTTCTGAGCTGATTGAATGTCAGGCAGTCATTCAACTGGAGTGGCTACATGTTTTTCCCTTTTCTAATTGGTGTCATATATTTCTAATGCCCAGTATTTTCCTTTGTACCATGTCATTCATGAATGTTTTATTTTTATGACAGCAAGATTTTGGAGAGATTTAAATAATTTAGTCACACCCTTGTATAATCCATATAAACATGGCTCTGTCAGAGAAAAGACATTATTCCTTTCTTTCTGTGTGAAAGGACCATCCTTCCTACCTATTATCATTGCGTGTCTCTCACCTTTTTTGACCTGTTCATAATTGCAAGGCTTGTAAGGAGCTGCCAGTGTCTTTTTAGCTTGGTGGTACTTAGATTGGATTCAAAATACCAGTAGCTTCCATTTTAAACCATAGCAGTCTACATGGAAAAAGACTTTCAGTCCGTTGACCCTACACCAGTCAAAAATATGCCCCTAATTATGCAATCCCATTTTTCAATACTACACCTATAAAGGGCACATCTGAATACTACTTGAACATTGAGGGTTTCAGCCTCTACCACCTTTCACAAGCAGTGAGCTCCTCATTCCCACCACTCTTTGGGTGAAAGAAAATTTCCTTACATCCCTTCTAAATTTCCTTCCCCTTCCTTTAAATGTATGCACCTTGGTCATTGATCCCTCCTCCAAGGGAAAAAGTTTCTTCCTGTCTACCCTATCTATGTCCCTCAATTGTATACATCTCAATTATGGTCCTCCCTCAGTCTCCTCTGCTTCAAGGAAAACAACCCTAGTCTATCCAATCTGTCTTCATAACTGAAACTCTCCAGCCCAAGCAACATTGTAGTAAATGTCCTCTGCACCATCTCCAATGCAATTGCATCCCTTTATATGCTGGAACTGTTCTCTCAACTTGTCAGATGCGATGCCGTGTAGGCGTTCCTCTATGACGCACACATTTCCAAACACTCCACTCACTCACTGTTGTTGTCTTGCTTACCTAGTCTTTATCCTTTTTCCATCTCTACTCTCTTTCAGCAGCCTTGCACGATCCCCAAATGCTGCTAATATTGTAAATTATGTCACTTTAGCGTCTTGGGTCATTTCAGGATTGGTCTTTCCTGCTTTTTTTTTTTTTTAAAAACACATCCTCGCATGTCTTCCTGCCATTGCGCCGCATGTATTACATTTTGGCTATAAATTAATCTGAATTTTAATTTTTAAAAGTTTCCTTGAATCAGAACTTCATTTTTAAATATGCCATTATTCCAGCCTTACTAATTTGAGTCATCTACAAACCAGAAAATGCGACCCTGTGGTTTTCTGACCCTTGAGAAGATACCTTTTAAAACTCTTAGCATGATCCTTGGATTACTTGTCTCTTAGTTCTTGCTACTCTAGAATGTGGTGTTTTCAGCACTCAAACTAAGCTTGCATCCCAAATGAATAACTCAATTCAGTTAGAAATGTGAAACAGAATAGCAACAGTTTATTCACAATGACAGCAGTAAAATATGTTTTGAGATGGCAAGAACTGCTGATG